AGATAGCCGGCATGGTGGCACATGCCTGTAGTCCCAGCTACTCGGGAGGCTGAGGCAGAAGGATCACTCGAGCCCAGGAGTTTGAGGTTGCTGTGAGCTAGGCTGACGCCACGGCACTCACTCTAGCCTGGACAACAAAGAGACTCTGTCTCAAAAAAAAAAAAAAAAAAAAAATGAGGAAACTATTAATTAATTAAAAATGAGGAAATTTTTTGGGCTAATATGGAAAAATCTCAGAAATATTTTATTAAAGGGAAAAAGTACAAGGTGCAGAACAATGTCCATAAGAGCATCATTTATGAAAAAAGTGGGAAAAAGAATATATATATTTGCTTATAAATACATAATTATGTCTTGAAGGAGATACAAGAAAGTGGTAACACTGAGTGCCTCCAGGGTAGCCAAGTAGACTGAGAATATTTTGTAACTTTTGAATTTTGAATACACACATATATATATAATCACTTTAATAAATCTAAGTCAAGAAAAAAATAAATATCTGAACTTCTCCCTTTTTGTCTTTTTAAATACTATATTTTAATTTCAAATAAACCCTAACTGATTTAATATTCTGATTTAAAACATAAAACAAAAGACTGTTGAGGTATAGGTTTTTCATATAAGAAATCAGATGCAGAGATGAGCATCCTGAGATTACTTTCAGTTTGGTCACTCGCTGATTTGGTTTCAAGATGAGATCACTTACTAATGTCTATTTCACATTTTTATTTCACTTTTGGCAGTAATGAGGATTGAGTGTTATGATAGTCGTATTTCAAACATCTTAAAATGGTCTTTCAGCAACCAAGATGCTATCACAATTTCATTAATTGTTAAACAGTAAAAACTTTGAAGGCCATGAAGCAGAAGACTCTTTTATAGCTTTTTAAAAGGCTGTTTTCAATTACTTTAATAATGCAGTTGATGGAGATAGTTTTACAATGGGCTTTTGACTTAGAAATCTTTTTTTTTTTTTTGAGACAGAGTCTCGCTTTGTTGCCCAGGCTAAAGTGAGTGCCATGGTGTCAGCCTAGCTCACAGCAACCTCAAACTCCTGGGCTCAAGCAATCCTGCTGCCCCAGCCTCACAAGTGGCTGGGACTATAGGCATGCGCCACCATGCTCGGCTAATTTTTTCTATATATATTAGTTGGCCAATTAATTTATTTCTATTTATAGTGGAGATGGGGTCTCGCTCTTGCTCAGGCTGGTTTCGAACTCCTGACCTTGAGCAATCCTCCCACCTCGGCCTCCCAGAGTGCTAGGATTACAGGCGTGGGCCACCGAGCCCTGGCCTTGACTTAGAAATCTTTAAAAAATAAATTCTGAAAGATTATTTAAAACTCTAAAGCAGGTTACCATAAAGGAAGTTGTGGGTTGTGTTTGGCTTAAAACCTATTTGAAAAAATTTTTTTCATATGAAACTCTACTAATGTGCGGTGGGATTGGTTGGCCAGACTTTATAATTCTATGGGGTTTTGTACTGAAATGATAACCCAGTCAGTAACACAATATAAACTCTTTAGAAGCTGCAAAGGCTATTGTAGGGGAAAGGGTTGATGTGTTTCTTGTAAAAATCAATTTCTTTAGTTTTAAGGTCACAACATTTGAACTGCCTACAAATTCCTTTCCTATTTAGTGATCTACCCTTCTTTTTTTTTTTTTTTTTTTGAGACAGAGTTTCGCTTTGTTGTCCAGGCTAGAGTGAGGGCCGTGGCGTCAGCCTAGCTCACAGCAACCCAAACTCTTGTGCTCAAGCAATCCTTCTGCCTCAGCCTCCTGAGTAGCTGGGACTACAGGCATGTGCCACCATGCCCGGTTAATTTTTTCTATATATTTTTAGTTGTCCAGCTAATTTCTTTCTATTTTTAGTAGAGACGGGGTCTCACTCTTGCTCAGGCTGGTCTGGAACTCCTGAGCTCAAACGATTCCCCTGCCTTGGCCTCTCAGAGTGCTAGGATTACAGGCGTGAGCCACCCGCCAGCCTTCTCTTCTGTTTTTTTGGCAGGTGAGTTGTTACACACTCCTTAGCAGACTGTGATTCTTATTTCTTGCTTCATATATTATCATTCCTTTCTTTTTAGTGACCTTTGCCAGAGTAGTTTTCTATAACACTGTGGGAGTGGAAGCCTGATTATTGTGGCTGACGGCTAAGGGGAGGAAGGTCAGAAAGTTGAAGCAGGAAGTAAAAACTTCTCTTTAAGAAGTTTGATAGAGAGGCATAGGATGGGGTTATTTTCTGTGGTAGGGAAAAAGCAAGTATGAATAATCAGAGGCAGGAGCAGGCAGAGAGAGACTGAAGATTAAAAAAAAAGTGATTGCTGTAGCCAGGCTCTGGGGAAGACGGCTAAGCTGGGAATTGAGAGCCTGGCTTTTCTCTTCATAGCTTCTGTCTGGAAGCTGCATCTATTATAGATTAAACAGGACCTGCTAGGTGCCTTGCTGAATGGAAAATAGAATAACATGCAGTAGGGAGCTGAGAGTGGTGAAGGTCTGAAACAACTGTTGAAAATATCACTGGGTCTGTCAAGTGCAAAGATCATGGTCAGAATTTTTTTGAGGAGTAAAAGTAAGTCTAGGCCTTCTGATTTCAAGATTCTTCTTTTTTAAGCACCAAAGGAGGCAAAAAAAAAAAAAAAAAAGCTTCATCTTTCTCTGCTGCACCCCTTTTAATAAAAGGATTTGTTCTGCAAAATTTGGATTTAGTCAAAAGGCCCCACGTGAGGACTGAGAAGGCCACATTTTGCCTTAAGGGCGAAGGTTCCCCACCCCTGATGGGATCTTGGCTTTCATAGCTGGTCCTGGATGAGATCATAAGAGTTAAGAAGCCTCTGAATTTCAAAGTAATAATGGCCTGAAAGAAAGCAAGATAAAAGGAAACAGCTTTTAGGAATTATAAACCAAGTAGAACTAGAGACTCATTGTCTGATTTCTCATCTCTTTAATAGTTTTCAGTGAGTTGTAGTCTATATACTCAGCCTGTTTCTACTTTATACTGGGTTTGATTCTCCTGATTCTTTTTCTATTTCATGTATTCACTAATTCCTGAAAACTTTTCATTTGTTCATTCTGTTTAACTGAATGCCTGCAGTCTGCAAGGTACAGATTCTTACTTTGCCATGACTTTCAGAACATTCAGACTTGAACTAAGGGACATTGCTGGCTTGAAAAATGATCCAAGAACAAAAGAAGCAGCTCTCAAAGGTCTTCTAGTAAACAAACAAAAACTGAGAAACATGCTTTTTTTGTCTTTGGCCCTACATCTGGGTTCTAACTTTGGATTTTCTAATAAGTCATATCCTGTCTACGTAAAATCTTCCATTTTCATCTCCTATCTTTTGATTTTTTTCTAACCTATCACCCTCTTCCTCCAATCAATCACTTGCTTCCATTGCTTTTCCTTTTGTTATGTTGTCATTCTCAGACTGTCATGAATTGAATTATTAGGAAGTATGGGCCTCAAAAATAAGGCCAAGATTAAAAGGAAGATACTCTTGAGTTCTCTTGTTTCTTTTATGAAATAAAGCAGGTGTAAACAATACTCTTATTCCATCTCCTCTGTGACTGTAACCAGACTATGTCATTGATTTTCAATAAACAGTACTGTTACACTTGAAAAAATCCCCACAAACAGCCCATGTTGTTATCCCTTTGGTATCACTGACTCAAATCTCTAATCCTTAATCTTGTGGCTTCCTGATTTTATATTATTTCTTCCAATCCATCTTATATTTAGTTACTAGTCTAGTTTTTCTCAAACATCATTTATATCATGTCACTTTACATCTCAAAACTCTTCAGACGTTCACTGTTACCAGTTATATCAAATTTAAGTGGCTTAGCACTGAGGGACACATCTGTCAGACCCAGCCTCACCTGCATGCATTTTAAAATTTTTAATCAATAAGCTCTCCTTCATGTTCATTTTATTTTTTCTTATTAGCCCAAGGCATGCCCCATTTAACACAAAACTGCATTTTTCTGAATAGAAAATGAAATACGGATAGTGAAATAGATTTATTTTGCCCTTCGATTTCGATCCAGATGCATGTGACAGCTGTTTCTATTTAGATCCCACTGTGATCCCATTTGAGCCTCTATGATTAGCCCCTGTTGTGGTTTAATATTTCAGAGTTCTCCTAGAGCATGTGCCCAATGGACACTGAGTAAGACCTTTAGAGACTCCAAGACTAAAAAGATTATGGTACACACCCTCCAGAATGTAATCACTAAATATAAGCAATTCTTTTTTTTTTTAAGGCAATACTCAAAGAATATTTATTGTTGACACTTTTCCCTTATATTTAACATTTTGAGATAAACGCTAAATGAACATATTTGTATGCATAATATAAGCAATTCTAAATCACAAAATAAGTGTAAGAAAGTGCAACAAAGTTCTAATAATTTTCCCAAGATGGCTATTTCATTTTGAAATTCTTTTAAGAAATTTTTTTTTCTCTCATTTTTCTCCCTAGCTTTGCTTAGGCCTTAAGCTGGAATTTGGTCTGCATTTGTCCTTCTTAGGAAAAACTACTCACCTAAGCTTCTAACTGTTAAAAAAAAAAGCAGTTGATAGTTGTGGGGGAGGGGCAAAACCTGACCTCACCATTCTTACTGTTCTTGTTCCTCAGAGGAAAAATTAAAGTGGTGATCCTTAAGCTGGGTCCCTATAGGGAAAGTAGGGCCAGCTCTACTCACAGGCATACTTCAGTGATTTTTGTACCTACTTTAGATTTGGTATAAGGAAATGAGAAACTGAAAAGCACACTGTAACTTAAAAATATTACTTTTAAGGATTTTATCCATCAAAATCTATGCCCAAGGCATTCAATTTGGTCACAAGATATTTCACAATAGCATTTCTTTTAAGTTTCCCTCTTGAGAAACTGTCCTGACATAGAGACATCATTCTACCTAGGAGCAAAACTTAGGATCATTTATATATTCTGAATCCCTACATACCTGGGTTAATTCTACTTCTCTGCAATCCTAGGGAAGCTGGAAAACTGAACATTATCGGCTAAATATTATCTTAGATATTAGCCCTTAAGCAGAAGGTCTTGGTGGGAACATCAAACCTATGAGAGGGATGTATGTAATACCCAACGATAGCGACAGCAAACAATCTCTTGGTGAGATTATCCCTCCTTGTTTTTTCCTCATTTCAATTTCCTCATTCATTTAGAGAAGCTGATGCTTTCTCTTCCTTCTTTAAAATGGCTAAGGCTCTTACCTATGGAGGGACATTGTGTGTATGTTAGAAAGTACAAAGCATTGGAATCAAGAGCCTAGTCTAAATCCTAGCACTGCTACTTACTGATCTCTGGCAAATTATTTAGCCTCTCTGAGTCTGTTTTCCTATCTGTAAAACAGCCATAACAATAATATCTAAATTACACAATTACTAAGGGCAAAAATAACACGTGAAAATTCTATACGAATAATAATTACAACTTAGTATTTCTTCTACAGTTTTCCTATTGCACCAGAACCAATTGGCCCCCTTCCAACCAAATGCTAATCTATTTATTTCCAAATCTTGAAGAGTGTCATCTCAGTCAATGTAACTAATTCCTAAATGCATAAACTTAATTATATAATTGTGATTAGGAACTGGTCCACTTAGAACAGACCAAAGATTATATATACTCATATCTGTAGAATATATCTCTAGAAGAGCCATAAGAAATTGGGAACAGTAGTTGCCTATGGGAAGAGGAATTCAATAGTTGTGAGATAGGAATAAGGAAACTTACTTGTTTATTATGTATCTTTTGAATTTTGTACATACTCCAAAAACTAATTTGATAAATAAAATGTATGTTATAGAATAAAGGAAGTAGACCATATGTATGCTATGGTATTTAAGATTCTTTTTTTACTGCCTGTTTTTATTGATAAGCTCAATTTATTAAAAATTGCACCTAAGAACTTCTAAACATTTTGTCATTTCAGAAACTTATTCTTTGAATATTTGATTTGGTTTTTTTTTTTTTTGAGACAGAGTCTCGCTTTGTTGCCCAGGCTAGAGTGAGTGCCATGGCGTCAGCCTAGCTCACAGCAACCTCAAACTCCTGGGCTCAAGCAATCCTACTGCCTCAGCCTCCCGAGTAGCTGGGACTACAGGCATGCGCCACCATACCCGGCTGATTGTTTTTTTTAATAAATATATTAGTTGGCCAATTAATTTCTTTCTATTTATAGTAGAGACGGGGTCTCACTCTTGCTCAGGCTGGTTTCGAACTCCTGACCTCGAGCAATCCGCCCACTTCTGCCTCCCAGAGTGCTAGGATTACAGGCGTGAGCCACTACGTCCAGCCTGAATATTTGATTTTTAAAAAATATGGCACAAGGGTAGAGAATCATGAATTATTTTCCACATACGATCACAGTGTTGCTACCAAGGTCCTATTAAAGTTTGAAATGTAACACACAAAAACAAAACTCAGGTGGTTAGACCATCTCAGATGATAACTGAATTTGTAACCAAAGTAACAGACAAAAGCTAATTTCGTCAATATATAAGAAACGCCTATGAATCAACATGCAAAAGACTAACAACCCCCCCCACGGGGAAAGGATTTGAATACAGTCAGAAAAGGAAATGTAGATGGTTTTAGATGTGAAAATATGTTCAACTTTTCTAATAACAAAAAAATACAAGTTTAAACCACTGTAAAACCGTATTTTAAATCTATTCAATTGGCAAAAACCCAAAAGTTTGAAAATGCTCCAATGATTTCCCATGTCTTTTAGCTAAGCCAAGCTCCTTATGAAGGCCTACAAGGCACTAAAAGATCTGGAGCTCTATATAATTCTGTCTTCATTTGCTACTCTCTTCTTTCTCATTCTACCCTCATCATACTTGTGATTCCTTGAATATTCTAGGCAAACCTAGTGTCTTTCCCCAGATCTCTGCATGCCTGACTCCTTTACTTCCTTCAAGTCTTTGCTCAAATATCGCCTTCCAAATGAAACCTATTTTTACCATCTTATTTATAATTGCACCCCTTCCTTCTCCACAACCACCACACTTCCGATTCTTTGTACCCTGATCTTTTTTCCAGAATATGTTCCAGTTTCTAACATGTTATATGATTTTATATTATGTTCATTTATATTATATAAGATTATATGTCTCTCCCCCTGTTGGCATATAAACCCCATTAGAGCAGGGATTTTGATGTTTCCCAATTGCCTAGAGCAGTGTTTGGCCCATAGCAGGAGTTCAATAAATATCTGTAGAGTGAAGGAATATTGCAGTGTGACGGCAAGTCTGTGGGAAGACAAGCATGCCCTTACATTACTAGGCTGAGTATCAACTGTTATTTCCTCCATGAAGGTCCGTTTGGCAATAATTTCTAATTGAAATTACAAATTACATATCCTTTAACCTAGTAATTCCACTTTTAGGATTTTATCCTAAAGACACATTTGGCCATGTGTGAAATATGTATGTCCACAGTTACTATAGTATTGTTTTTAAGTGCCAAAGACTGGGAATTTCTTAAATGTCCATTAATATAATAAATACAATGAAATACTAGGCAGGAATAAAAAAATGAGGAAACTGGCCGGGCGCTGTGGCTCACGCCTGTAATCCTAGCTCTTGGGAGGCCGAGGCGGGCGGATTGCTCAAGGTCAGGAGTTCAAAACCAGCCTGAGCAAGAGCGAGACCCCGTCTCTACTATAAATAGAAAGAAATTAATTGGCCAACTGATATATATATGAAAAATTAGCCGGGCATGGTGGCACATGCCTGTAGTCCCAGCTACTCGGGAGGCTGAGGCAGAAGGATCACTCGAGCCCAGGAGTTTGAGGTTGCTGTGAGCTAGGCTGACGCCACGGCAC